ATAATAATAACTATAATTTTGACAACATAAATTTAGGACCTGGGGGCAACTTTGAGACATCTCCAATAAATTAAATTTTTCAGGAAGAACAGAACATATCCAGATATGTCTGATTGTTGCAACAATCAACGTGTTTTTTTTTTCTGATACATAATAATATTAGTCGAAAAAGTGATTTTGACTAAATTATGGAGATATCTCGTTTTTTTCTCCAGGTCTTTAATTGTATATTTAATGTTAATTAACTATTATAATTCCCGGAAATTTGGGGGAGTGAAGGGATGGAGCCGCCCTTGAGTTAGTAATTACTGGATAAAATCATATCTTTTCCCCCTCCACCCCTATGGCAAAAATCTAAATACACTACGAGTTATATTAGTTATAACTTGTAATCTGTCGGAACAATGAATTATGAATATACGTTGAAAATAGCATATCTGCAACAGGCGCCATGCAGTGTTTCCGAGTGTTTCTGATGTTTGTCAATATTATTTTATATTAGATATATAATATTACACTCATTATTTAATAATTTACAATAGCCATAGTTCAATACTTCAAAACGGAGGGCTTGGTCTGGTTGGCATGGTCGTAATCGTAAACACTAAACTCGTTAATCGGTTAATTTTATGATTTACGATTATTAATAATTTAATTTAACGGATTAGCTTATACAGTCTTATATTATGTAAATATGTTCGATAATTTTTATCATGCAAATACTACGCAGCACAATATAATATTATGTTTATTGTTTTTCATATTTAGATTTTAGATGTTAAAAGGATGTTAGCGCACTATATTATGTTTTCTCTCTCTCTGGCCCACACTCAACTTGGACAAAACGCATTTATGCAAAATCATTTTTTTTTATGTTTTTAAGTAATCTTAGAGTAAAAATCACCCATTACAAAAAAGATAGAGGTTAATGTTTTTGAGGGAATGACATATTGATTTGTCTAAAAATTGTCTCAAAACAATTTAAACATCATTTAAATGTACAACATTTTTTTGTTTAGGTACTTTGAAAAAGTCGAATACAAAATCAATTAACAATAAAATAAGATATCGACATGTCATTCCCTCAAAAATATTATTCATTATCTTWTTTGTAATGGGTGATTTTACTCTAAGATTACTTAAAAACATGAAACAAAATTATTCAACGTAAATGCGTTTTGTCTATGTTGCGCGTGGGCTAGCGAGAGAAAACAAATAGAGCGCTGACRATATTCTCTTAATAATTTCTAGTCGGTACCTACGTATAGTTTATACGTTATACCTTTAAACTTAAATATTTGGCACATACTCGTGTGTGATTTTTAGACGGCCTTTCGGCTGTCTAGCTGCCTCTCTCCCATGCACGTTGCTTGATTATTTTAAATCAACGTTATAGCACGAGCACGGAATAGATTAAATTTAATCTATTCCGTGGTTATTGTGCTTAGTTGGTACACCGTACACAGACTTCTATAATAATAGTAAGTATAGAAGTCTGTGAGTTGGTATAATATTAATTACGGTAATCAGTCAAGGTATACAAATTTAAAAATTTTGAAAAGCGTTTCTAGGAATTATTATAACAAACACTATAAAATATGTCCTTATATATAGTCAAATATGAAATAATATAAATTAAAATGTAAGACAATCCAATTAGGTACGTATATTACATTATTTTCTAATAAAATTAGCAATACCATATTATTTTAAACAATTTGGAATAAACCTATATACGTATAATATGGACATTTTAACCTAGATTTCTTGTTACTACTTTTTAAGGTCACTATATTGACTTGTTAAATTTCACAATTTCTCACCAATTATACACATTTCCCAATCTCCAGWCCCCAACAGTGGAAAAAAGGGTGAGAAGCGGAAACTCCAATTATTGCGTTGATAGTCAAATATCGTATTACCAATCAACTTTTGTAGAATATGACGTTTTATTACATTTTATACCGTATTTTCGACTGTATTTAATGCATTTTATGATAATAACTTATACCAATGCGTCACCAAAAGGCTCTTAACAATTGAAGTTTTAAATTTTAAATTTTTATTACCTATTACCCAAAAATACCAACTACCGACATCTAATTTGTTACCAGAAACAGTCAAACCGCTCCAAAAGTCAAAAGGACACGACCAAAAAAAAATGCACGCCACTTTAAAATCGCTTCGTTCTGAATCTAACATAATTATAAATCTATATAAATATTATGAATAGTAAATATATCTTTCTAAAATATTAAACGTAATAAGTAGGGCTGTCTATTTCTATACACTTTGAATGGCAAAGTTTTTATATTTTTAGTCTCTTGTACGCAATATTCCAGGAATTGCCATTCATATATCACTTACTCAGTTAATATATTCATATCTTACAAAAAACAATCAGACTTCTATGGTGAAGTCCGGGATTGCTGGATTTAGTGCACGATGTATTACTGTTTCTGTATTAATGCCTGTCACTGTTTTAAAAACTAGAATAGAAGTAAGTAAGTAACTTGCGTACGTATATGAATTTTAATTATATCTATCGAATATACTTCTAACTGAAGTTGATTATTCTAAAACTAAAACCTAGGCATTTATTTTCAGAGTGGTCAATTTAGTTATACGACTTTAATCCGTGGCCTATCTGAGATGTATAGGTTGGAAGGTTGGAAGGTATTGTGTCGCGGATGGACTCCAACAATTTTACGAGATGCTCCATTTTCTGCATTATATTTTATGTTTTTTATCAAACTAAA